GATGAAGAGGAAGAGGAAGAAGAAGAGGAAGACAAAGAAGAAGAGGAGGAAGAAGAAGAAGAAAAAAGAAAGAGAGAAGAAGAAGAAGAAAAGGAGGAGGAGGAGGAGGAGAGAGATGCAGAAGAAAAAGAAGAGGAGGAGGAGGAAGATGAAGAAGAAGAGGCAGAAGAAGAAGCAGAAGAAAGAGAAGAAGATGCAGAAGAAGAAGAAGAAGAAAAAGAAGACGAAGAAGAAGAAGAAGAAAATTAATACCCCTTCCGCCCCCCCCCTCCTCCGTCTTTGATGCACAGCAAGGACGATTCATGCGTGTCCGCTCTACGCTCTTCACCATTTAACACTTACACACCAACACCTTCTCGCTACCCCCTCCCCCCCTTTCCCTGCCCGTTCCCGAGATTTCCCCTCTTCCCTCCCTCCCTTCCTTCCACATCTCCCCTTCCCCTCCCACTTCCCGAAGATTCCACCCCCCCTTCCCTTCTCCCATCCCCAAACCCCAAGATTTGCACCCCCCCCCACCCATCCCCCATCCCCATCCTTCTTCCCTTCCCCCATCCCGGAGATTTCACCCCCTCCCTTCCTTCACTCTCCTTCCCCCCTTCCTTCCCCCATCCCCACCCCGAGATCTCCCCCTTCCCCCCTCCCTCCCCACCCCGGAGATTTCACCTCCCCTCCCCCCTTCCCTCTCCCCATCCCCCATCCCCTCCCCACCCCCAAGATTTCATCCCCTCCTTCCTTCCCTCTCCCCCTCCCTCCCCATCCCGGAGATTTCACCCCCCTTCCCCCTCTCCCCCAAGATTTCACCCCGTTCCCTCTCCCCCCCTCTCCCTCCCTCCTCCCCTTCCCTCTCCCCATCCCCTCCCCTCCCCCCAAGATTTCACCTTCCTCCCTACCCCTCCCCCTCCCCCTCCCTCCTCCCCTTCCCTCCTCCCCATCCCCCCCTTTCCTTCCCCCGTCCCCCCTCCCCCCTCCCCCACCGATTTGAATATTACCCTCCGCACGCCGGGATTAACGCAGTGTACTTCAGACATGGCAGACAGACCTTCCATTGCTCTTTTCATTAACGTTGATTAATTCTCTCCCCTCTGCCGGCACTTCCTTCATCATCCGTCATGTCTGGTTCCTCTTCGTCTTTCTTCGTCTTCTTATTTCGTTCTTTTTCTTCTTCCTCTTCGTATCCTTCCTGGGTTTCTCTTCTTTCGGATCTTCCTCTTCCTCCTAGACTGTTGTTGTTATTGTTTTCTTCCTCATTTTCTTCTTCGCCTTCGGTTCCTTCTCCTTCTTCTTCTCCTCCTCTTACTTATTCTTCTTCTTCTTCTCCTCCTCTTCCTTCTTCTCCTCCTTCTTCTCCTTCTCTTTCTTCTCCTCCTCCTACTCCTCTTCCTCCTCCTCCTCTTCCTTTTCCTCCTCCTCCTTCTCCTCCTTCTCCCCTCCCTCCTCCTCCTCCTTTTCCTACTTTTCCTTCTCTTCCTGCTCCTCTTCCTTCCTTTCCTCCTCCTCCTCCTTTTCCTCCTCCTCCCCTTCCTCCTCCTCCTCCCCCACCAAGTTCACCACCCTCTTCCCTTAAGTTTCTCCCAAACGCCTCCTCCCTCCCTTTCTATAGCATTAATTTTCGCAGTAACCTCCTCCAGAAGGATCGTCACTATCGCACCATCTCGGCCTCCAACCTCCACAATAGGTACTGTGTCCCTCCCTTCCTTGGTATAACCGTTAGAGCACCGCCCGGTAGACACCAGTAAAGAGATTTGGTGGTTCCCAGTGCCACCAAAACCGGGTCTTGGGCGGTAGTTAAGTATAGGCCTGACCTGGACGCCAATGCTTTGGGGTTCACGACGCACGACGCCCTCTGGAGGGTACGTTTTTTTTTTTGTTTTGTTTGTTTGTTTTTTTTGTTTACTTCCCTTTCATTTCTTTCTTTTTTATGTTCCTTTTCTTTCTTTTTCTCTTTCTCCTTCTCCTTCTTCTTCTCCTTTTCTTTCTTCTCCTTCTCCTTCTCCTCCACCTTCTTCTTCTTCTTCTTCTCCTCCTCCTCCTCTTCCTATTCTCCTCCTCTCCTCTTCCTCTTCTCCTCCTCTCCTCTTTTCCTCCTCTTCCTCTTCCGTCACGCATTTAAAAGGTCCTTATGGAATACCTTTCAAACCTATGTATTAACAGCTATCGCAACACTCAAACACAGCACAGATAACCAACACCCCGATGTAACTTCTCACGCGAATACAGTAAAAAAAAAAAAAAAAAAAAAAAAAATGATACGTCACACAACCCCCTCCCCCCTTCTTCTCTGCCTCATTACATACAGAAATCACTGAGGACATAAGGCATCAACAGATCTATGGGACTACATCTGATTCCTGCCTTAACACTGCGCCCCCTTCCGTGTCCCTTCAGACAAACAAACATCAGGAGATTAGAAAATGTTAACACAAATCGTGGCCAGATTTATCACTAAACAGTGCCTGGCATCACAGCCCGACCAAAACATCTGTCTCATAAAACACGGGCAAAAAACACAAACTAAACTCTAACATAAAATTCACAAACAACCGCACTGACATTTCCAAGCCCGGAACCACGCTATTCACTTCTGCAAATAAGCGCATTTCCCTCAACACGGAAAAAAATCCTACTCATTAACCACTGGAATACTGACGCAGGCAAAGCACTCGCTCTTTCCACGTCCCCTATTTGGCTGAAAACGGAATATGGAGAAATGTAAATTAAAGACAAATAGAATAAATAAAATGCGATTGTAACAACAGCACTGCACGTAAGAAAAGGTTGATTTAGTCACCCCAGTACTCAGGAAATCAATAATCTGACATTGTTATTGAGATTACATTACTGCCCTCCTTGAGTTGTATATTGCTTTTATCTGTTTATTGATTTTAGTGATAGAGTCATTTTTCTGCTTTCCTTTTTTTTGTAGTTGGGATTTTTGTTTCGTAGATTTTGTATCACAGCAGTTCTTTTATTGCAGTAGATCGGCTGTGTATTTCATGTAGCTTGCTAGCGCTCTCTATGTTACTTACAAATAGGAACCGTACGGAATGGGATCTTGCTTCTGTTATCTTCTTTTATATCGAAATGTTTATATTACATTCGTGTCATCTTAGGAAAATCAAACAACGGACAGACTTCCCACAGACAGTCCATATATTTTACATTTAAGGACACGGCTGGAACACTTCCCAGGGCAAAACCACGACCCGCAAACCGATTCAAAAGCGAAAAATCTAGACTTCGAACTAACACCTCCTCCTCCTCCTTCTCCTCTTCTTCTTCCTCTTCCTCTTCCTCTTCTTCTTCCTCCTCCTCCTCCTCCTCCTCCTCCTCCTCCTCCTCCTCCTCCTCCTCCTCCTCCTCCTCCTCCTCCTCCTCCTCCTCCTCCTCCTCCTGTTCCTGTTCCTCCTCCTCCTCCCCCTCCTCTTCCTCTTCCTCTTCTTCTTCCTCTTCATCCTCCTCCTCCTCCTCCTCCTCCTCCTCCTCCTCCTCCTGCTTCCCCTCTTCCTCTTCCTCCTCCTCCTCCTCCTCCTCCTCCTCCTCCTGAGTAATCCGCTAGAATTTAAAAGATATATGAACTCAGTCTTTGCCGCAGATTTCGAAGGGTTGGCTCGTAGAAATAACCCTTTTTATTCAGAACAGTGAACATCGGGTAAGAATCTGCGTGAATGATTCATCCTTGTTATAGTGCATAGTGTTTATACGTCTAATATGTGTCCCTGATATACGTGATAGCTTTGTAACATAGTACCTGATGTTGAACCCGACCGAGTAGTTGGTAAAAGGGATGAACAAAACGCTGTATTTTATTCAGTGTTATTATTACATAAAATGGTGATCATAACAACTTAGTGTGTTATTAAAAAGTCATAATGATTCCTAATTCCATGGAGAAATAATTTTCCTTTACAATGTTCATTATTTCGATAGTTTTCTCTCAATATTGGTGAGATATTAAATGTCTCATTTCTTTATTAAAGATACCTGTAAATACACAAATACAACTGCAACTTGCTCATTGGCATTCCATGTATTTTCCTTATATCTAAAGGTGTGTTATTATATACATACGAGTAAGTGGGGTTATTTGTCTTTTTCGTTCTCAATACACATACAGGCATTTACTTCCTCTATTATATACGCGAGTGTGTGTGTGGGTATGTGTATGTGTGGGTAAGTGTATGTGTGGGTATGCGTATGTGTGGGTATGCGTATGTGTGGGTATGCGTATGTGTGGGTATGCGTATGTGTGGGTATGCGTATGTGTGGATATGTGTATGTGTAGGTATATGTATGTGTGGGTATGTGTGGGTATGTATATGTGTGTGTGTACGCGTGTTCTTCTAGGCCAGCAACTTCCACCCCAGCCTGACGGCGCTTGTGCAGTAGAGGATTATTTCATAATATACTTGAAGATTATCCCGCAATCCTATCTAATCCTCACTCGCTATATTAGTTCCTCAGTCTTTCCTTCTCTGTTCAACAGTATTAGCTTCAAAAGACGTGTTTTGCCCATTATCTCAACAACTACTACGAAAGAAAAATAAACTTTTCCTAAAATGTTATGATCTGGAGTTTCGCTCGCTCGCTCTCGCTCTCTCTCTCTCTCTCTCTCTCTCTCTATCTATCTATCTATCTATCTATCTATTTATCTATGTATTTATGTATCTATCTCTCTCTCTCTGTCACACTCTACATATATATATATATATATATATATATATATATATATATATATATATATATATATATATATATGTATATATGTGTGTGTGTGTGTGTGTGTGTGTGTGTGTGTGTGTTTGTGTACACATATACATACACACACACACACACACACATATATATATCTATATATATATATATATATATTCGTCTTCCCTTTTCTTTTTCCTTCCTTCCTTCCTTTCTCTCTCTCCTCATTTCCCTCTCACCCGCTCCCCCTCTTCCTCTCTCCTCTCTCCTCCCTCCCCCCCCCCCCCACCACCACCACCACCACGGCCTCACACGCGAACGAACAGCCAGGTGTAAAGCGGCCGCCGTTCCAGCTGAACAAGGGTGTAGTTCAGAGTGTTCAGACCGTCTTGCTTGTACGTCCGTTGAGCGCTTCGAAACATTCTTCTGCTTAAGAAATAAATAGATGAATCGGTTGATAGCTTGACGCATTTGAAGTGGAATGATGATAAGCGTAATGATAGACGAATGATGATGATGGTGATGATGATGATGATGATGAGAAAAAAATTATGGTAGTTATGGTGATACTAAGGATGATGGTAAAGGTACTAGTAATGAGAACAGCGACAGCAATAATTGATAAAAATGGTAATAGTAATAATGATGATTACGATAACGGTAATGATAATGATGATAACAAAGACGGTAATGATCATGATAATCATATGATGATGGTAATTAGGGTCATAATAATATTTACAGCGATGATAAAAGCAATGATAATATTAATTAAAGTGATCAGACGAGAATGACGCTAACATCATAAGCATAATCATGCAATAATTATAATTGCAATAATTATCAATAACTATAATAGTAATAATGAATAATAACGATAAGGATGTAACGGTATTAAAAGTAGTAAAGATGATTTATATAATAAAAAAAATATTAATGATAAAGCATATGATAATCGTGATAATAGGAACACGGATAATGATGGTAAATGTTGATAATAATAAAAACGATCGCAATGATATTAGTAATAAGAATGATATAATCATAACTGTTATGATTATTATCGGTTATAATCATTATAATCATTAAAATTATCATTATTATAGTTTTGACTATAATTATTAATAATATCACTATAGCTTTTATCTACATTAATAATAATAATAATAATGATAATGATAATAATAATAATAATAATAATAATAATAGTAATAATAATAATAATAATAACAATAAAAGGAAAAATTATCATAGTTTTAATAACAATAAAAGGAAAAATGATCATAGTTTTAATAACAATAATGATAATGATGATAAAGATAATAATGATAAACATGATTATAATAATGATAGTAATAATAGTGATAATGATAATAATGGTAATAATGATAAACCTGATAATAATAACAATAATAATAACAACAATAATAATGATGATAATAATAACAACACCGATAATAATAACAATAATGATAATGACAATAGAAATAATAACAACAAAACAATAAAAAAGAAAAAGAAGAACGAAAATGATAATAACAATGATAATAGTAAACAATAAATGATAACAATGCTAATACTAATACGAGCGTAGTTCAAAAAGCAATGTCTCTCTTTGCATTCCGCACCAAGGGTTCCGGCGGCCTGTTTATGGCAGTTGCGATGACGTGAACCTCCGTGCATATAACCTGAAATTTTCAGCTCACTGTTGCAGATATTGACGGTGTGACAGTCTAATTACGTAATCGCTGTCATGGATGTGCGTCAGGAGCAGAGATGCGTCACTGAATTCCATCGACTGACGTTTAGACTCTCGCGCTGTGGTGACACCTTGTCTCGTCACTAGCAATGATGCGGTCCACGAGTACTTTCCCTTCGGCGTCGGGACTGGTCCAACGACTCCTGACTGACAGACCATCCGCGGGACCCACCTGGCACATACTTCGCTGTACCCTAGGGATGACAACGTCGTTTCCAGTGCACCGACACGCACCTCCAACCCTCCACGCATTTGATTCACTTGATATCGGCCGATTAGCGCGTGGGCTTAGTTGATCGAGGTGTCGTTTCCCGGAGTGGTGGCTGTGCGTGGCGGTTCGTCACATCTCCGTCGCCACTCTGGAATCGACGAAGCCAACTCCTATCCACGCTGGCATCAACTGCTTCGGCTCCTGAAACGTCCACCAAGCGCCGGTGAATTTCGATAGGGTCTCCTTCCGCGTGGAGGAATGCTATGACGCGTCTCTGCCTCTGACGCACATCCATGGCAAGGGTAACTTAGTTAAGACTGTCACGCCTCAATATCTGCAGCAGAGGGGCGAAATTTTCAGATCATGGGCGCGAAGGTTCAGTCATCATAGCTATGCCACTCTCCTCAGATCCAGATCGTTCTATGGAACGAAAAAAAACGAGAGGAATCTCTCCCCTTCCCCTTTCCTCCTGCCTCTCCCCCCCCCTCTCCCCTTTCCTTTCTTTCTCCCTCTCCCTCTCTCTTCCCCGCTCTCACTCTCAAGTCTTCCTTAAATCCCCTCCCCCCCTCCAGCTTTGAGCCCTACATCTGCCCCTCCCACTCCCCCCCTCTACCCCCTCTCCTTCCTCTCCTTCCTCACTTCCTTCGCTCCCCTGAACTCCTTTCCTCCTTCCCCTATTCCCCTTTCTCTTTGAGCCCCTTCTCCTTCCTCCTCTTTTTCCCTTCCTCCTCCTCCCTTTCCTCTCTAAGTTCTCCCCGTTTCCCACTCCCTATTATCCATTTCTCTTTAATCCCTTATTATTATCATAATTGTAACAATAACAATATCAATAATAACA